ATGACGACCTTGCCAAGTATCAGCACTTGGGCACAACGTCTGGAGAACACGACCAGCCTGGAGACAGGCCTCCTCCAGACACCCCAGGCGCTGCATCACCAAGTGAAGGTCGCCTGTCTACAATCTACGAAGAAAGCGAGGAACACGACATCGAGGCTATGATGATGGAGGAGTGGTACGATGAGTTCCGCATGGACCTTCATCCCACAACGGTTATCGACGACTATCTCTACTGCGTCCCAACAACCATGCTGCCCGACCAATGTGTCTTGGTCTCAGCATCCGTGGACGAGGGGGATACCGTAGTGTCGGAGATGCTCGGGGACGAGCCTGAACTCCAAGAACCCTGTATTATCCCTCTATGCTCGACTACACCTGACGAGGGCTATTCTCTTGACAGTGGTGAACATGGTCCCTATGTTGAGCAATGTTTCGCGCCAGAAATGTCAAAGGTAGTGTTGGATCAGACCCAACTTGCACAGCTTGAAACAGACGTGGTCGCAACGATGAGAGTATATGTATCATCGGCTGCTAAACGTGCTGTGGTAGTCAAGGAAGACGACCTACTCACCAAAGCCGATATCGCAGCACATCCTAAAGAAGTTAGTGAAGCCCTGTAAAGCGAACTCAAGATCTGGCTTGACAACCGATGCTTTGAGATGTATAACCTATCTAAAGTTTCCAACATCATGACATCCAGATATGTATACAAGTGGAAGTTTGTGAAGGTAGGCACCGAGACTGTTAAAACCATCCGTCTTAGATTTGTCCTTCGCGGATTCATGGACACGGAGGCGTTCGATGTAGAAACCTTCTCAGGAATTGCTCGAAGACAGTTCCAGAGGCTCCTGGCAAGCGAGGCGGCATGTCATCCAGAATGGATCTTAGCATCTATGGATATCGACAAAGCGTTCCTCAAAGGACTGACCTATGAGGAACTTGCTCGCTCCACAGGCGAGGGAACTCGCATAGTTTGCTTCGCCCTTCTACCAGGAAGTGCCCAGGTGCTTCGTACACTACCAGGCTTCTCTTCTTACGATGAAAGCCGACACTGCCTCAGGTGTCTCAAGCCAGGAACGGGTACAAAGGACGTCCCAAGAGCGTTCCCCCTCAAGCTTCGTGCGACCACGCGAGCTATAGGCCTCGCACCGACAAGTTGCGATCCTGAGTTTGAATTCGGTCAGGATCTGCTGACGGCAAAATATGTCGACGACATCAATATGACAGGCCTAGAGAAAAACGTAGATGACTATGTACAACGTGTCGAAAAGGTGTTTGGCAAATGCAAGCTCAACAAACATTCTTACACTGTGCCGTTCGCTACACGAAGAATGAACAAGGGGATGTGATCATGGATCCGGACGAGTACATTAAACAACTACGTCCTATCACGCACCCTGAACTTACGGGAGCGGCGGCAGACGCCAAAGCTACCAAACTCATCACCGACATGTTCGTTAGCCTGCGAGGAGCTCTCGCCTATGCCCTTCTTACTCAAGTCTGGCTTATGGTGTATGTGGTCCTTTCTCCAGGAGAACCAAGAGCCCACCAACTTACAAGTCAGACGACTGAATGCTGTGGCGCGAAAGCTGATCAGCAGCCCGAAACGCATCACCTTCCCTCGGAGGAAACCGACGAATGAAGTAGACATACATTGTGATTCGGGGTATCGGAAGCTCACCGGAGAGGAGGACGATGAAACCAAGGGCTACGGTATTCGTGGGGCTAACGTATTGCGGCGAGGAAACTCGCCTCAAGGCAAATCCGTCATTCACTTTTGTGACGGACTGTGCAAATCACACCGACTGCAGGTGAGGTCCAGCTATGCCGCTGAGGCACTTGCAGCTGCACACAATCTTGATGAATGCTATCCCACGCTCGTCACCCTTCACGAGCTCAAGGCAGGGGCACTGACTCCACGACCACTAGGAGATATGCGTGAAGTTGGAGGCCTAGCTATCAAAGTATCCCTTACTATAGACGCTGAGTCTGTATACAAATCGCTATCCAGCAAAGATCTTAAGACACCGACGGCACGGACTTTGCTGGGACATATCAGCTGGATACGTGAGCTCATGGATATAGGTATAGTGCGTAGCGTACAGTGGTGTGATACTAGAGACATGACCGCAGATGGGCATACAAAGGGGAGTCTCGATCGTGAGCTGCTTTTTGAAGTGATGTCAGGCACTCAGTCATTTAAGTATGACGGTATGCAGTTTGTTCCCTTTCGCGGCCCCGAGGACAGGAACAAGCCTAAGTCGAATCAGTTTTAGTCTGTCCTTGTTGCCCCCGCGGTCCAGTTTGCCAGCACGGGCGCCCAATACAGAGGCGCCCCCATAGCTGCTCGGAAACGAGCCATACTTTTCACGCTTGGAAACGAACCTGTTCAGTTTGGTTCAGGCTCTTTGTTTTAATACCATGTTGCCTGGAGGGGAATGGCCTGTTTGGCTTACCTCTAGCCTGGCCGATAGCCCCTGTATATCCAAAGGGCTATCCTGCGTGTGCGTGGAAAAGTTTTTGCGAGGAAACTCGCCGGCGAATAATCTCGCCCTTCAGTCTGGTGGTAGGCCAGACTGTGCGTACTGTTTTTTCTTGCAAACAGTTGTGCGTGCGGCCTTTCTAGAGCCTAACGGCTGCGCGGCTTTACTCTCCGTCTCCTCCCCTCCCGACTTTAAGGGTCGCTCTTTGGGAGATGTTATAGAGGATCGGGAGTATAGCCTGCGCGCCGTTGCCTTTGGCTCAAGGCACGCGCGCCCTATTTGCCCGGACACTTACCTTTGTGTTCGCTATGTGCTGGAAAGATCATTACATCGATCTTTTCCCATCCTATCCGTCCACTCCCCATATCGTATTCCTTCGACATGGAATTGGACGCTATATGACCTGCCAGAATCATTTCAGACTCCCGCAGCGTTAGGGCCGAGTTCTTGGCGCTAGCCCTTCAGTTCCTTGCGCGGCGCGGTTTGAGGCTCACGCGCAGCCTCCGGCTTCGCGCGAGCCCTTGGGTTCCTTGCGATCGACGCAGTTCCATAAGTGGCCTGGGGGCCTTCGGGACTCTCGTCGTCCGTGCGCCCAGCTTGCAACAAACGCGTTGCCGTTCTTTGCGCGACGCGGTTTGAGGCTCACGTGAATACCCAGACAGAGCAGTGGTCACGTCAAGGCCCAGTTCCTCACGCGAGCCCCTCGGTTCCTTGCGATCGATGCAGGTCCAAAGTTGGCCAAGGGGGCCGTCGGGGCTCTCTCTCTCTCTCTTTCCCACTCGTGCGCCCTTATTTATTGTTTGATTTTCAAAAAGGGGGCTCCGTTCCCTTCTTCAGCGTTCCTTCTGGCCTGGGGCTGACTGTAATGTAGTGTCATGCAATGTGATGTAATGTAGTGTGGTGTAGTGTAGTGTAGCGTAGTGTGGTGAGATGTAATGTAAGGTAATGTAAGGGGGTGTTATGTATGTATGTATGTGTGTATGTAGGTGTATATGTTTGTTTGTCTGCGTATATAGGAATATGTGTGAGTGTGTGTATGCATGTGTGCATGAGTGTATGCACCATGTATGTATATGTAGTCATGTAATTTTGTGTGATGTATTGTAGCGTAATGCAATGTAATGATATTAAATATCTGTGACGCGATGTAATATCAGTAATATATGCATGTGGGCATGTTTGTATGCATGCGTGGATGTATGTAGGCATGGATGCAAGTGCATGTAAATATGCATGCATGCATGTATGTATGCATGCATATATGTATGCAATTATGTATGTATGTATGTGTGTATGTATGCATGCATGTATGTATGCATGTATGTATATATGTATGTATGCAGGTATGTATGTATGTATGTATGTGTGTATGTGTGTATGTATGTCTGTATGTTTGTATATCTGTCTGTCTGTCTGTCTGTATGTATGTATGTATACATGTATGCATGTATGCATTCATGTTAGATAGACGTGTGCGTGTATAGTTGCACGATTGTATGTTTGTGTGTATGCATGTATGTATGGAAATATGTGTGTATGTCTGCCTGCCTGTCGGTATGTCTGTATGTATATATGGCTTCGTGCATGGATGAATGAGTGGATGAATGAATGAATGTATGTATGTGTGTACATATGTATGTATATGTGTGTATGTGCATATATAGAGAGAGGGAGAGAGAAAGAGAGAGAGAGAGAGAGAGAGAGAGAGAAAAAGAGAGAGAGAGAGAGAGAGAGATCGGATAATGCCAGGGGCGGGCCCAGAACCACGGCCCCGGGTTCGCATGGGGGTTCTGGGGGCCCCACAAGCGCCCCCGTGGCCTCCACAGTGGCCCCGTAGGCGTACAGATGGCCCACAAATTTGCACGATAGTCTGCAGGGCCAGTCCATCGCACCCCGAGAGCGCCGAAGCTGCCTTATGAATGGCCTCCGAAGGTTGCCGTGCTGCGCCAGGACGGTCTCGGGCAGGCTTCAGTAGGCGCCCGAGGTCCCAGACGACTGCCCCTGGAGGCAAAAATTATTGATTTCGTTTTGGTTTTTCAATGTTTCTGGGGTCCTGCACTTTTCGAGTTTCAGACAATCGCAGACGGCCCAGGAGGCCCACAAGACCGCCCCAAGACGGGCCAAGAGGCCCCGAGGAGGGCCCTGGGACAGCCTAACAGGGCTCCATGACAGCCCAAGGGGCGCCCAAGACAGCCCAAGAGGGCTTAAAGACGGCCCCAAGATGGGCTCAAGAGGGTGAGCATGAACCGAAATGTCGAGTCTTTCGCCCCAAGAGGCTCCAGGAGGGCCCGAGACAGACGAGAACCCAGAGAGGCGAGAATCTGTGATTTCCCGTAGGTTTCTCAATGTTTTTGTTGGTCCTCCACTTTCCACGTTTCCGACGCTCCAAGACGGCCCAAGAGGGTTCCGACATCGTTCGTACATGTTGGCTCAAGTTGGGGCTCCAGCGCCTTCGGGTTCAGATTTTGCAGTGTTTGCGCGTTGATCTAGCTGACTTGACGCTTACCGTTGCACACAATGGACTCATTCACGAGGCGTGGTTCATGTCAGTGCATCCATGACGACGAATATTTTGAGACCTACCTGAACCCTCACCCATTTCTGACGACTGCAGACGCTCCGCTGCTCCATCGCGCCGCGGGGGCGGCGCCAGTAAATTCGCCAACCTGGCCGCCCAGCATGCTGCCGCGCTCCGCCGCCGATGCGGGGCTCGCCGCAGGCCCCCCCGGCGAGCCAGACCACGCGGCGCGGGCGAGAGAGCCGGCCAGCGGAGGGCGGGCAGGGGCCTCCAGTGGCGCGCCCGCGGTCGCCAGGTCGGCCTTTCGGCAGGCCGAGCTCGTTGACAGCATGCCGGCAGCCACCCCTGGCGCTCCAGCTATCACTACGCTCATGATCCGCAACATTCCGATGTCTGTGGCGCAGAGTGACCTGCTGGACCTCATCGGCAGGACTGGCTTCGAGAACCGGTACGACTACGCCTACATGCCGACCACTTTTGACAGTGGGACCACTAGAGGGATCGCATTTGTAAATTTTATCACCTCAAGCGACGCCCGTGAGTTCTCCATCTTGTGGAACGGATCGCGGCTGGCCGGAGTTGCCGGCGCTGGAACCAACGGGGCCGTGATCGAGGTCACCGTGTCGGAGACGCAGGGCTATTCGGAGAACGCCAGGAAATGGAAGGCGAGCCGGCTGCGCCGCATTAGGAATCCCAAGTTCCACCCCTTCATCGCCCCGAAGCCAGGTGCCTTGTGAACGCGCGGTTGGCAGTTTCATTAGGTCAGGCATGTCCTCCTTCACTCATCCTATTAGGTCGGGCATCTCCTCCTACAGCCAAGAAAGCATCATAGTTGTTCTGCCCTGATGCGACAGTTTAACCATGTTCAGTGCATCTCGTTGCACCTTCTGTCTTATTGTGTTCGCAGCAAATATCGCTCGCTTGAACCTTGAAAGCACAAGGCAGCGCACGCAACAAATCCTGTGGACGCCTCCAGAGGGCCAGACACAAAGGTTTGCGCCGATGCACGGCCTCGTGAGTTTCCAGAGAGGCTGAATGCTTTCCTGATTTCTGATGTGCGGCGGCGGTTGGAGCAACGCCGTTTTCATGGTCCATGCTTCAGGTGGAGGAGGAGGATTGAAACCAATGTTATTTCGGTAGTGGAAGAACGAAGGAGGTCTGACTAAGAGGCGTCATGCTGTGTGCCCCCCGAGCGGCCCGTGCGCTCTGCTCGGGCCTGGGATTGGGGCCCTTCTGCAGGAGATGCGGCGCGCACACCACAGGCAAGCAGACACCGAGAAGTGCACCGACTGGAAGTCGTCGCACAGTGATTTCGGCCGCACGTTTCACTTAGTTCATGTGTCTCTGCCTTGTACCCTCTAGATCATAACTTGTCAAGTATTCTAGCGCTCGCTTGAACCTTGAAAGCACAAGGCAGCGCACGCAACAAATCCTGTGGACGCCTCCAGAGAGCCAGACACAAAGGTTTGCGCCGATGCACGGCTTCGTGAGTTTCCAGCAAGGCTGCATGCAGCTCCCTTAGGGGCCCGCTTGCGCCCGCTTGAGGCCCTGATTTCTGATGTGCGGCGGCGGTTGGAGCAACGCCGTTTTCATGGTCCATGCTTCAGGTGGAGGAGGAGGGTTAAAACCAATGTTATTTCGGTAGCGGAAGACCGAAGGAGGTCTGACTAAGAGGCGTCATGCTGTGTGCCCCCCGAGCGGCCCGTGCGCTCTGCTCGGGCCTGGGATTGGGGCCCTTCTGCAGGAGATGCGGCGCGCACACCACAGGCAAGCAGACACCGAGAAGTGCACTGACTGGAAGTCGTCGCACAGTGATTTCGGCCGCACGTTTCAGTCAGTTCATGTGTCTCTGCCTCGTACCCTCTAGATCATGATTTGTCAAGTATTCTCTGATCAGCGAAACCATCTTGTGGAACGGGTCGCGGCTGGCCGGAGTTGCCGGCGCTGGAACCAACGGGGCCGTGATCGAGGTCACCGTGTCGGAGACGCAGGGCTATTCGGAGAACGCCAGGAAATGGAAGGCGAGCCGGCTGCGCCGCATTAGGAATCCCAAGTTCCACCCCTTCATCGCCCCGAAGCCAGGTGCCTTGTGAACGCGCGGTTGGCAGTTTCATTAGGTCAGGCATGTCCTCCTTCACTCATCCTATTAGGTCGGGCATCTCCTCCTACAGCCAAGAAAGCATCATAGTTGTTCTGCCCTGATGCGACAGTTTAACCATGTCCAGTGCATCTCGTTGCACCTTCTGTCTTATTTTTTTCGCAGCAAATATCGCTCGTTTGAACCTTGAAAGCACAAGGCAGCGCACGCAACACATCCTGTGGACGCCTCCAGAGGGCCAGACACAAAGGTTTGCGCCGATGCACGGCCTCGTGAGTTTCCAGAGAGGCTGAATGCTTTCCTGATTTCTGATGTGCGGCGGCGGTTGGAGCAACGCCGTTTTCATGGTCCATGCTTCAGGTGGAGGAGGAGGATTGAAACCAATGTTATTTCGGTAGTGGAAGAACGAAGGAGGTCTGACTAAGAGGCGTCATGCTGTGTGCCCCCCGAGCGGCCCGTGCGCTCTGCTCGGGCCTGGGATTGGGGCCCTTCTGCAGGAGATGCGGCGCGCACACCACAGGCAAGCAGACACCGAGAAGTGCACCGACTGGAAGTCGTCGCACAGTGATTTCGGCCGCACGTTTCACTTAGTTCATGTGTCTCTGCCTTGTACCCTCTAGATCATGACTTGTCAAGTATTCTAGCGCTCGCTTGAACCTTGAAAGCACAAGGCAGCGCACGCAACAAATCCTGTGGACGCCTCCAGAGAGCCAGACACAAAGGTTTGCGCCGATGCACGGCTTCGTGAGTTTCCAGCAAGGCTGCATGCAGCTCCCTTAGGGGCCCGCTTGCGCCCGCTTGAGGCCCTGATTTCTGATGTGCGGCGGCGGTTGGAGCAACGCCGTTTTCATGGTCCATGCTTCAGGTGGAGGAGGAGGGTTAAAACCAATGTTATTCTCTTGCGCGTGGTGTCTAGAGCTCCGACCATTTTATTTCGGCGTCATCGTCGCTCCCCCCCAGCTGCCTTGTGCCCTTCATGTGTCGCTATATGTGTCGCTGTGTGCCTTGTGCCTTTCATGTGCCGCTATATGTGTCGCTGAGAGTCGCTATGCGTCTCCACGTGTGCGTCGCTATGTGTCGCTGTGTGTCGCTATGCGTCGATATGTGTGTGTCGACATGTGTCTCTATATGTCGATATGTGTCGACATGTGTCGCTATGTGTCGCTCCCCAGCACCCCAGCGCACCGCTCCCTCCGCCCCGACGACTTTACTTCGGCGTCGTCGTCGCCCCCCCCCCCCCTTCTCCCTCTCCTCAGCAGCCCAGCGCGCTGCCCCCTCCGCCCCGACCACTTTATTTCGGCGTTGTGTCGACATGTGTCGCTATGTGTCGCTCCCCAGCACCCCAGCGCACCACCCCCTCCGCCCCGACGACTTTATTTCGGGTCGTCGTCCCCCCCCCCCCCCTCCTCCCTCTCCCAGCAGCCAGCGCGCTCCCCCTCCGCCCCGACCACATATTTCGGGCGTTGTTTTCGGCGTCGTCGTCCGCCCCCCCCCCTCTCCCTCTCCTCAGCAGCCCAGCGCGCTGCCCCCTCCGCCCCGACCACTTTATTTCGGCGTCGTCGTCGCCCCCCCGGTCCTTTTCCCCAGCAGCCATGCGCACCGCCTTCTCCGCCCCGACCACTTTATTTCGGCGTCGTCGTCGCCCTATTTCGGCGTTGTGTCGCCATGTGTCGCTTTCCCCAGCAGCCCAGCGCACCGCCCTCTCCGCCCCGACCACTTTATTTCGGCGTCGTCGTCGCCCTATTTCGGCGTTGTGTCGACTGTGTCGCTATGTGTCGCTCCCCAGCACCCCGAAGCGCACCGCCCCTTTCCGCCCCGAAAACCGGGACCTTTAATTCGGCGTCTCGTCGCCCACCCCCCCCCCCCCCCCCTCTCCTCTCCTCAGCAAGCCATCGCGCTGCCCCTCCGCCCGACCACTTTATGCGGCGTCGTCGTCGCCCCCCCTGTCCTTTTCCCCAAGCAGCCCACGCGCCGCCCACTCCGCCCCGACCAACTTATTTCGGCTCGTCGTCTGTAACCCCTACCCCCCCCTTCCCCCTCTCCCGAGCAGCCCAAGCGCGTCGCCCCCTTCGCCCCGACCACTTTAATTCGGCGGTCGTCGTCGCCCTATTTTTCGGCGTTAGTGTCGACATGTGTCCGCTTCCCCCCCAGCAACTCCAGCGCACCGCCCTCTCCGCCCCGACGACTTTATTCCGGCGTCGTCGTCGCCATATTTCGGCGTTGTGTCGACACGCGTCGCTACGCGTCGCTCCCCAGCACCCCGGCGCACCGCCCCCTCCGCCCCGACGACTTTATTTCGGCGTCGTCGTCCGCCCCCCCCCCCCTCTCCTCGCCTCAGACACGCCCAGCGCGGCTGCCTCCTCCCGCCTCGACCACTTTATTCGGCGTCGTCGTCGCCCCCCTGGTCCCCATTTTCCCCCACAGCCCAGAATGCGCCGCCGCCCTCGCCGCCCCGACCACTTTTTTTTCGCGCCGTCGTCCCCCACCCCCCCATAAGCCCCCTCTCCCGGGCAGCACAGCGCGCCGCCCCCTTCGCCCCGACCACTTTATTTCGGCGTCGTCGTCGCCCCCCCCCCCCCCCCCCTCTCCCCTTCTCCCCAGCAGCCCAAGCCCAGCAGCACCGCCCCTTCCGCCCCGACCACTTATTCTCTTGCGCAGAGTGTGTCTATAGCTCCGACCCATTTTATTTCGCGTCGCTCCCCCCCCCCCCCCCGCGTCCTCAGCGCCAGAGTGGGCCCCCCGCGCCGTGGCTCTCTGCCCCAAGCCCCCCCGCGTCCCCAGCGCCCCAGAGGGGGCCCAAAAGTGACGACAGTTACAGGAATCCGATGACCCGCTCGGATTAGTAACATGATCTGCGGGCCCCATAGGGAGGGGGTTCCCGCCTGAGACTTCCTCACAATTCACTCACAGACGAGGCTCCCTCTTGGTGGATGATGGTGATGGGATGATTACGACGGTGTTTGATGATGATATATGATTGATGATGATGATGATGTTGATGATGATGATGATGATGACGATGATGATGATGATGATGATGATGACGATGATGATGATGGTGGTGGTGGTGGTGGTGGTGATGACGACGTGATGATGATGATGGTGGTGATGATGAGTGCTGATGGTGAGTGATCGTGCGATTCTGATGGGAAATGGTGGTGATTATGATGGGGACGACGTGGTGAGTCAGCGAGTAGTGATGATGATGATGATGATGATGATGATGATGATGATGATGATGATGATGATGATGATCGTTCGATGCCGATGATGGTGAGTGATCGTGCGATGGTGATGGTGATGCTGATGGTGATGATGATGATGAGTGGGGAGTGATGGTGATGGTGATGATGATGCGGAGGAGGAAGCAAAGAGGAGCAGAGGAGAGGGAGGAGGACGAGAGATCCTGCGCGGAGGGTGTGCAGAGAAAACAAGAACCCCACTTAGGATGTGGGGAAATAACATGGTGTGAGGAAAGGCATGGTATGGTATGGGATGGTGGATGCATGGTATGGTATGGTAAGGTATGGTATGGAGTGGCATGGTATGGGTATGGTATGATACAGTATGGGATGGTGGAGGAAGCGGGAGGAGCAGGAGGAGGAGGAGGAGGAGGAGGAGGAGGAGAGGATGTTCTGGGAAAACAAGAACCCCACTCAGGATGTGGGGAATCAGTATGTGGGGTTCCTCGGTAGCGTAATTCTCGGGCGCCGCGCCTGGGAACGCTCGGGTGCGTGGAAGCGCCTGGGAGCGCCTGGGGGCGCCCCCCTGACTCGGAATCCGCCCTACTTTGGCTTTGTGTTTTTTCTCTCCGATTTCAAATCCCACCGGCCCTCTGGGCGCAGGTGGCCTAGCGCGTTTCCTTTTCCAACCTCCTCCCTTTCCTTGTGCGGGAGGTTTGCCCTTGGCCCCCCTTCCCCCCCCTCTCCCCGTCCTCTCTTTCCCCCCCCCCCCCGGCCCCCCCCTCCCCCCCGCCCCCCCCCCTTCCCGCCGCCCCCCCCGCCCCCCCCCTTCCCTGCGTCTGGACGGGGGGTGGTGCCCGATGTGTCAGGGCGTCTCTCTTGGCCCAAGATCGCTCCAGGAGGGCCCCAGAGACTCCAAGATTGCCTCCAAGATGGCCCAAGATAGCGGCGGACGGGCCAAGATAGCCTCCGACGCGCGTCCAAGAGGCCTCAAGACGGCCCCATGACGGTTTCAAGTGCCCTCCGAGGCCTCCAAGGACCCCCCCAAGAGGCCACACTTTTTCAAAAACCAAAGAAAACTCAACGTTTGTTTGCTCTGCTTTTTTCCCGGAAAGGGCTCCGCCCTGAAGGGTTCTCTTTTAGTTTGTTTCCCCCCGGTTTCGACGGCTGTAGGGCCGGCGAATTTCTTTTGCGATAAATAACGAGGTCGCGTAGGGCCGGCGAATTAAAATTTGAGGATGTCTCGAGCGAAACGCTTGTTTTTCAGAATTTGTTGAGGATGTCTCGAGCGAAACGCTTGTTTTGTGTTATAGATTGTCCTCTCCTGGGGACCTGAATTCTGAGGATCTCTCAAGTGGATTGCTTGTTTTCACGTGCCCAGGTCTTGAGGATGTCTCGAGCGAGACGCTTGGTTTCACGCCTCCAGGTGGCCCAGACAGATGTCTCGCATGAGGATTTGTTGAGGATGTCTCGAACCAGAGGCTTGTTTTCACGTGTCCAGGTCGCCCAGGCGGATGTCTAGCATGAGCATGTGTTGAGGATGTCTCGAGCGAGACGCTTGTTTGCACGTGTCCAGGTTGCCCAGGCGGATGTCTAGCATGAGGATGTGCTGACAACGTCTTGAGCGAAACGCGTGTTTTCACGTGTCCAGGTCGCCCAGGCACAGCACAGCCCTCGGCACGGTACATCAATATCGATACCCTTAGCATTGCAGCCTGGCATGTTGCCTGGCACGTTCCGCGGAGCGTCCCGTGGCGAGTCCCCCTGCACGTCGCGCGGTGCACGTCAATTGGCACGTTCCGTAGCGCGTCCC